TTGTCACTTGATATTCCTGTGGTGGTTCTCACCTCTCATACTTTCGTTCTTGCCCTAAGTGGGTGGAAGAAAAATGGTACAATGTTTACGTACTATATACAACATTTCTTACCCTGAGGCTTGGAAGTTTGTGTTCCCTGTTTCATCTTGGAAATATGTTGCTGCACTCCATTCCACTGCTACAGTAGGAGTGCAGACAGAACTTTCCGTATCTCCAACAAATATTTTCTTTCAACATGTAAATAGTCTTTTGCCCTCTGTAAATGCAAGAGTTGATAGATCTACATCTACTCTTGTCTCTGTCCTCACTGTCGCATCCAGTGACTGCTTGGGTCCCTCTCCTTCAGTCCTGAGGTGCAGAACCATTATTCAGTCATGCACTCATTCACTAGAGTCTCCTTCCTCTGACAGAGATCTGCCCAATCGACTCAGGTCGTGGTTGTAAACACAAGGGTTCTCTGTCCAGTTCTTCTCTGTCTAAGTAAAAATGGCCACTTTGATAAAGTGGAACTGTCGAAGTTTTCGTTCTAATTTGGATGATATTAAAGCCTTGATAGATTCTTATCATCCAGCATGTCTCTCCTTGCAAGAAACATTCCTTCTGCCTACCGATACTGTCACCTTTTGGCAGTTTTCCTTGTACAGGAATGACAGGTTGTGTGTTGGACGAGTTCAAGGAGACATGGAAATGCTGATTGACCAGCATATACCCACCATGTCTGTGCCACTCGATACATCCCTGGAGGCTGTTTCCACTTGCATCTCCATGGGTTTACCATCACTGTATGTTATCTTTACCTGCCAGCACAAGAGATTTTCGATCAATCAGACCTTCGTGATCTTATTGACCAGCTGCCATCTCTCTTCTTTATCTTGGGATATTTTATGGTCACAGTCCTCTAGGGTGGTGCTGATATTGGTGGGAGGGGGCTTTCTGTGAAGCTATGCTCTTTGATACCAACCTTTCTCTCTTTGATGTTGTTCATTTACCTATTTTCATGCAGTCAGTCTTTTATTGCTGTTGATCTATCTATTTGTTCACTTTGCTTTTTTTCTAATTTTTCTTGGAGGGTTAGCAGTGACCCACAGGGCAGTGATAATTTTCCCTAGCTTTGAGGGAGGTGGACCGTGGTCAATCCCACCTGACCTGTGTGGCATGGTGGAAGTTGGAGTAAGCTGACTGGCTCTCCTTCACCCCCTCTCTCGGAACTTGATTCTACTATTGTCGGTCATCAAACATGAGGTGTATTGAGTGGCAGCTTCAGACTGGTCTCACTCGCTTGTTGGGGCGGACCACAGCAAATGGTTTCACTTTCTCTTCCACTAAATCCGTTTGCATTCATTTTTGCCACCAACAGGGATTACACTCTGATCCTGAGCTCTATCCTGGTGGTGTTGTTCTTCCTGTGGTTCCTCAGACGAAGTTCTGTAGGACTGCAAGCTGACTTTTATTCCTCACATTAATCAGCTTTGTGCCAAATGTATACGGGCACTGAACATCCTCCATGTCCTCTCTTCCACTTCTTGGGGAGCGGATCGATCTTCTATGCTGATGATCTATCGTGCCCTCAAAAGTTCCAAGCTGAATTATGGGTCCATGGTTTTGCCAAGACATCTATCTTGAAGATGTTGGACCTTGTGCACCATCTGGTGCTTCAGCTCTGCACATGGACTTTACACACTTCACCAATCCAGAGTCTGTACACAAAATCTCATGAACCTCCTCTTCACCTCAAACATTTGCAACTTTCGTGGCTTTATCTTACCAAGCTTCGATCCTTACCATGGCATCCCACCTGGAGTTGTGTCTTCCTTATCTTAACTTGGCTTAACATGTGGCCTTGAAAGACGAAGTTCATCAGTGATAGAATGAACATACTCTGTAAATATAATTGACTTATTTATGTAACAACAAGGTCAGCGGAATTTTTAATACTCTAATAAGTGTACTACTCGGAAGTTTGTTTGATTTTTCTTTTTGTTTTGATAGAGGCAGCCAAGAAAAAAATACTGGCAAAAAAAACTGAAGACGACGGGTGTTGCTGACATCGATAAAACATTCAAGGTATTGATGTTTAGTTGCTGTTGTTGTATTTTAAATTACTTATTGAAGGTACTGATGTTTAGTTGTTGTTGTTGTATTTTAAATTACTTATTCAAGGTATTGATGTTTAGTTGCTGTTGTTGTATTTTAAATTACTTATTCAAGGTATTGATGTTTAGTTGTTGTTGTTGTATTTTAAATTACTTATTCAAGGTATTGATGTTTAGTTGCTGTTGTTGTATTTTAAATTACTTATTCAAGGTATTGATGTTTAGTTGCTGTTGTTGTATTTTAAATTACTTATTCAAGGTATTGATGTTGAGTTGTTGTTGTTGTTGTATTTTAAATTACTTATTCAAGGTATTGATGTTGAGTTGTTGTTGTTGTTGTATTTTAAATTACTTATTCAAGGTATTGATGTTTAGTTGCTGTTGTTGTATTTTAAATTACTTATTCAAGGTATTAATTTAGATTTACGCATGAGAAAATCCTTGTTAGGTAAGATAAAAATCCAAGAGTGGATTACAATACATGGCAATGTAGGTTATGATATAAAGTGACAACATAGAAAATAATGAGTGGCATTATGAATTTGAAAGAAGGATAACATTGATTAAAATGTCAAGTGACAATATGTATTGTTCAGAAGGATTTAGGGAAACCTCCGAGTCGGAGATCCTCGCTGGTTTCTCCAGCCAAGGAGTTTCTGCTGTGTGACATATCTCCATTCGTAAAGATGGAATTATGCTACCTACCGATGTTGTTATTTTGACGTTTACATAACCACGTTCACCTGCCACTGTCAAGGCAGGTTATCTGAACTTTAAGGTATAGCCTTATGTTCCTAACCCTCTCAGATGTTTTGAGTGTCAGTGGAGCGGACATTCTAAGCCATCTTGTCGTGGATCTTTGATGTGTGCTCGTTGTGATGGCAAAGACCATCATGTCTACGAGTGTCAACTGGATCCTCACTTTGTTACCGTGCTTATCTACCTACTAGGTAGGTGTTTGGGTGTTGGTGCTGCTTATAGAGTGCTTATCCACCTACTAGGTAGGTGTTTGGGTGCATTTTATGAACCTTTATTTATGATCTCTCATGACTGAGGTGGGCATATTTTTGAAAGGCTCATCATTGACTAGGTATAAAGTAACGAGCTTATGTATAGATAAATAAAAGGATGAAAACGACGATTTCTGGCACAATGGAACATATCCCCTCGTACGTGGTGAGGGGACTTCGCAGGGAAGGTTCTGTATCTTCAGTTTACCTCTTCTTGGATCTGAATATCCACCCACGTGTTTGCCATGCGTGGCATCCCGTGAAGGGGAAGAGAGGATCCTGGTAGTTGAGGGGTACGCTTGATGGGTCATTTTATATCGGTGGAACTTCGAACCATCACTTTGGCCTTGAATTCCTGTGGACGTGTGACCATGGGTGACTCCCCCAGGGTCAGTCGGCTGGTTCTATTAGGCTAGGGTCAAGTACCAGAGTTTGACATTCTCAACAGGTGCTGTGGGCATTGTGTCTGATTCTGGTGTTTGGGTATAGTGCCCATGAAACCCTGGCATAGCTACAATGTTAATATTTGACGTTGTAGTGTGTCCCTTTGTTGGCCTCCATGGTTGGGGGAGTCCGTGGGCACTGTATTTTCTCCATTTTTATGGATCCTGCACCTAGTGACCCCAAAAAATAAACAAGATAAAACCCACATTGAGTGGAAAGTGACTACTTTTAGAAGACTCTGATCAGCAGTCACCACCCCAATATATTCCTGTGTCCCAATGTTTCATTCTTCATTCTTTGTCTAACAAACCTCTAAGGTAAATGTCTTCCTTTTTCATTCAGAAAGGATTAAAATGGCTTGCTGGCTGTCTGAGGTCAGTTAAGAAGCTATGTTCTGGGGACATCTTGGTGGGAACATCTACGCCAAAATACAGTAAACCACTCCCGAGGTCAAAGGCCAATGGATATATACTTATTGAGGTTACTCCTGATGCTACTTTAAGGATCTATTATAAGCAGCACCAAC